TGGTTCGCGAAAGGCTCTTTTGTAGTTGTAGCCTTTGTTACTTTGAGTGATGCGTTTTGATGTTACGATATTTTTGGAGATTGATAGAAACACCCATCTTTAATCTAGATATAGAATAATCTAGATTAGTAGATCGTTATTTATCTTCTCAATAGCTGTTTTGTAAACGATGCTTTTACCTTTGTTGCTTGAGTTTTAATTCAAGTTTCGGGTTTCCGTTAAATATTCTTGTTTTAAATTTTTTTTTTGGGTGTTATATTTATAGACCAAAAAATGGATTAGACTTTCTATACAAGCTTATTGCTTTCAAAACAACTTAAAAGAAAAGAAATGGTTCAATTTGGGCTACCAAAATAATGGTTCATGAATTTATTTTGTGAAATGATCCAAAATCTTGCAATCTTCAAATCAAATGCTTCTTTTGAGCTTCATCATTGATCCAAAGCTCCGATAAGCATAATCTTGAATCATCAGTGGACTTTGATTCATTTACTTGAATCTCAACAACTAAAATCATCAAAGCTTCCTTGATCTGTTTCGATCTTAATCTTGTAATTAGACCATATTAACTTTATTTTGTTTCCTTCAGGCGTTTTTGACACCCCCAGGTATCACTGGGAAAACATCAATGTTCTTATATAGAGCTAAACAAATGAGAAAAAAAGACTAAGGGACCGTTCACGAAATGCTTATCGATAGGACCGTCCATAGGGTAGAGATGGCAAAAATTGGTCCCCAGCCTAGGCAGTCCCAAATCGATCCTGATCCCTAGTCAAGCCCTTCAAAATCGAGTCAGCTAGGCTCAATCTTGACCCTCACCAAAAATCCTTGTACCAATCTCGGCCTGATTATTGGTCATGTTCTTCGTCCCATTGGGGGTGGTCCCAAATCCAGTCTCAGCCTGCCCTGATCTTAAAGAAAATCTTTTTCACATTTAAAGGTTATACCTGTTTCTATAATTACGATTTTTGAGATACAGTATTGAAATACACTTTAAATAATACATTCAAGTAAAAGAACTTGGAAAAAAAACTTGAAAAACTTGTAAAAGTCTTTTTTTAAAAACTGGTATTGTAACTTTTAAAAAAGTTAATTTTTTAAGTTGGACCTAAACATAACCAGGCCCGATTCGTCCTGATCCCGAATCCAACCTTGAAATTTCATAAATAATGTAACAGCTCCCAAATGGTAGAGCCATAATAAGTCCCGGGTCAGGCCTAATTTGGCTATCTCTACCTGGGGAGGGTGGTACATATGTCTGCCCTTGGCCCAGAAATATTAGGGGTCAAAATTTTTTAGTACATAAGTAGTAGTCTAAAAAGTTAGTATATGGAAAAGACTTAAAAATGTCATCCATTATATGCGATTGCTTCGTGCCTCTAAGTTTTTTTATGTGGTACCAAGGTCCAATGCAATTGGATATTGCTATCTCTATCTACTTGTTTGTTTCCAAGCTTCAATGATTCAACAGATAACAACTTTAAGATCATGTGCTTGTTATTGCTATTTGTTTGTGTTCGCTATTTACATATGCTTTTGCGTCTATTGATTATTGTTGTTTGCTTACATCGTTCACGTAATTAAGAAATTTTTTTTCTTTAAAATGTACCAATCTTAGTAAGATGGTTAAACTCATATCTATATTTTTGAATTTTAAAACATCCCTTGTTTTTTCATATATATTATTGATTATTAATTACCAAATAAAAAATATGTAAATTAAGTATTCACATCTATACACCTAATAAATAAATAACTTTGGGGACACGTGTCATATTTCTGTGCGACGGTTATTGATTTTTCCCGCCTAAACATGTATCTAGACACAATTTTCACTAATGGTTCAAATAGGTCTATTTAAGTGACATATGTCCTTCTACACGTTTATTTTCTTGTTTTCGTGGTGTAACTGATTTTCCAGACTAATTGGAAATCTCTGGATTTTCATTCCTCAGACTTATAAGTCTGAACTCTTTTTCCTCAGTTAAAATTCAGAATTGTCTGCCAGACTTATAAGGCATACCAATATAAAAATCCGAAGACAAATCTGAACTCCTTTTTCTCAGTTAAAATTCAAAATTGTCTGTCAGACTTGTAAGACATACTCGTATAAAAGTCTGAGAAAAAGTCTGAACTTCTTTTCCTCGGTTAAAATTCAAATTTATCTTCCAGACTTGTAAGACGTACCAGTATAAAAGTGTGAGGACAAGTCTGAACTCCTTTTTCTCAGTTAAAATTCAGAGTTGTCTTCCAGACTTGTAAGACATACCAGTACAAAAGTCTGAGGATAAGTCTGAACCCTTTTTCCTTAGTTAAAATTCAAAGTTGTCTTCCAGACTTGTAAGACACACAAGTATCAAAGTCTGAGAAAATCAAAGTTGTAAGTCTAAATTTAACTCTGAAGTGGCCTATAGACTTCTGAGTCTGAATGTAGGAATTCAAATGAAGTCTGACCTGTGAATTTAACTCTGAAGTGGCCTCCAGACTTCTAATTCAGACTTGTAAGTATGAATTTAGGAATTCAAATGAAGTCTGAGCTGTGAAGTGTTCCGAAAATCCAATGACCAAATCCTAGTTTTTCCCTCAAACGGTCAAAAACTGCCATACGACATTTAAAAAACCGGGTTTTCAAAACAGAGTCAAAACCGGGTTTAAAATTTCAAATTCAGATTTTTAAAGCATTTTTCACAAAGCAATATTACCGGAAAAAAAATTACAAGCTGACCTGCCAGCTCGACCCTAGCAAGGGATCTGCCCCTTGGACCTCGCCACCGGGGGCGCTGCCCCCCGGACCCCCGTCATTTAGGGGCTTTACCCCTAAATCAAAATAAACTCAAACAAGTGTGCACTCCGCATCTTCCTTAGTTGTTCGATATTTATCATGATTACATCGGTCAACAAATTAATCTCATTACACTTAAATGGCATTAGTGATACAAATCACCAACATGAAGTCATCAGATATTTGTTATTTCTCATACTTACAACATAACATTGAATTGTTCTGTTCTATACTTAGTTCTATAGTTTATTCCCAGACTTATAATACAACTCTGAACTCCTCTTCAGAGTTGAAGTTCAAAGTTACATTTCTGAGTTATAAGAAGTCAGAATTCTTGTGACTCAGAGTTATGCTCATAGATACTTTCTAGACTTAGAAGACAAATCTAAATTCCTTTTATTCAGAGTTAAGTCCAAAGTTATTTTCTAGCCTAACAATAAAACTCTGATTTTTTGTATTTCAGAGTTGATGTTCAAAGTTTTCTTTTAGACCTAAGGAAAAGTCTCAACTCATTTTCCTCATTCAAAATACCTCATGTAATATACGGGATCGAACCTAGTATCTATAATAAACATGAATAAGATTTTCTTTTTACCATGAATTATTAGCCTTTCTTTCATTCATTTTTAATAATAAAAACATTTATTGATAATTTTTTGTACTCATCGAGGGCCTTTGCTTCTACATATGTTCAGGCCTATAAAACATCCAGCCCATGCTTACTTACCGAGTCACTTACCTTATCGGATGATTAAGACAAGGATGAAAAATCTTACCCAATAAAAGGCACAACAATGACCGACCGGTAAGTGACGGAGATGACTCTTAACAGATTAGCGGTTACCGGATAAGAAACATTACCAACAATCCATTTTGAGCTGAGAATGTTACCTAATAAAGGTAAGCATAAGGTAATAGACTTTTGCCAGTAAGCTATTACCCGGTAAATGCTTGGTAAACAACTCCTAACTCAAAAATTACACTAACAAAAACTACGATGAACAGAGCCAAGATCACGAAGAGAAAAGTCTGAATCATGCGAATTTTATGATTTTATATGAAAATAACAAGTTATAAATCATCTCAGAAACTAGCCAACACCTCTAGCTAAATCAATCTTGACTGTTTCCAAAACCATCGCGCTTATCTTGTTGCCACCCGTACCCCTGTCCATGGTGACTCGTGTCACCGCCAAAGAAACTGCCCGGCATTTGTGAAAATGGAGGCGGTAGTGGCGGTGGTGGTGGTGGCAGCGACGGTGTTGCCGCTAAGATCCCTCTTCCATCCCTGGAATCTTTACCATTTGCTCCTTGAAAGAAGCCAATTCTTCCATGGTCAAGACCACCTTGATTCATCATCATAGAAGTAGGGTCAAATGGTGCACCATTCGGTCCAATGTTCCAAGGTTGAGGATAACCCATCAATGATCCTTGTTCCATGCCACCTTCCGGGCCTTGAGGACTCACGTAAAGTGGTTGACCGAATGAAGTGGGGCCCATTACATTTGGGTTGACGGGTACTACAAAATTGGGCGGCTGGAGGGCGGTCATAGGGTATTCCGGATAAGGAGATTGGGACATAATACCTTGTTGCTGACCACCTCCCGTTTCAAAATTCTGTTGCTGAAGATGCATCGAAGTTTGCCCATCAAAACCATGGGGTCTGTTATCCATCGGCTTCGGCTGCATGAGTGGCCTAACAGGTGGTTGGGACCGTTGAGCGCGGTCTTCACCATCTTGGACCGGCCTTGGAGTTGGTGCTTGAACCGTTGAATCGGAAGTTGTTGGTTTCTTTTCAGATTCGTTTCCATCTTTTTGAGTATTATTTGAGTTAACAAGATGAGAATGGACAGCATGTACATGAGACTCGAAGTCGGTTTTCTTGAGGAAGGACTTTAGACAATGTGGAGCTGCGCAGACGAAGATGCCTTCCATCATTTTAATCGTTTGGATCTTCTGAATACGATCATCACACCTGTGTGTATAACAAAGATACAAAAACCCTCGTTAGTGCATTTCTTGTGTACAAAGATTATGATGCTTTATTTGACAGTCTAACAAACATTTGCAATGAGAAACATACAAATAGTTTGATCAATAAACCTGTGTAAAACTTAGATCCAGACCTATGTACAGAAAGAAGCTTGTGGGAGGAAATTGTGTGAACAGAGCTCATTGCAATGTGTGTATGCTATATCCAACCTCATTACACTTGCCACAAGAAATTTTCCGAAGTTATTATCATTTACATGTCCAAACGGATCCATTGAATCTCATGGGGAGGATAAGATGTAGGTAGACCATATCAAACCAAACAGACTCAGTATGTCCCATGCGGGAGGTTCTAGGAGGGTAAGACGAAACCAAACGGACCCAGACAGAAGTAAGGTCCGGGAAGGATAGGATGTATGCAGACCAAACCAAATGGACCCAGTAAATCCAATACAGAGGTAGGGTCCAGGAAGGATAAGATGTATGCAGACCAAACCAAACCAAACCCATGCAGAGGTAGGATTTGGGAAGGATAAGACTTAGGCAGACCAAATTAACAGACCCAATAAATCCCATGCAGAGGTAGGGTCTCAAAAGGACAAGATGTAGGCAGACCGAAGCAAACGGACCCCACACAGAGGTAGGGTCAGAGGGTAAGCCATAGGCAGACCTTACCTCTACCGCAAGGGGCAGATAGATTTCCATGAATACCTCAGGCTTGCGTTGCAAATACATAATTAAGCGAGTGAGATATAGGTGCAAACAAGTTCTAGATCAACCACAACTTGTTTGCTAAATGTTGAAATTCAACTGGTCCTACCTCAGGAATGTTCGAGCATCTGGAACTCAAAGCTCAATACTATGCGCTCTGTCAAAAAAAAATGAGATACCTAACAGAGGAAGTAGTAAAAGAGGAATCAAGAGAGGTTCCTCTGTATCTCCATTCTCCATTACAATAACCTTCTAAAAAATCTCTGCTTAGAATCCTCAAGTGGCCACCTAGGCTGATTCAGTTAGCAACTAATCACTACATAATTAAGGGTTCCAAAAGATTAGGCAGGATTAATGAGCTTTACCCTATTGATGAGATAAGTTTGCATGGTACTGATAAAGATTAACTTGGCCCAATTTAAAAGGTTAAAAATAAGCCCCTGTCTATTGTAGACCACTTGCTTTGAGCTTTTAGTCTAAAACAACCAAAATAACTGTATCAATATAATATAGTATCAAACATTTTACATAACCTAAAAATGATTATCGATTATACAATAAAATAAATTGCTGAATGCATCAGCTTAATCCCCGATTAACCACATAAGTTTAACACTTCAAAAGTCCAGCTCATATGACATGTAAATATGAATTTATGCATACAATTTAGAGCTACAAGTTACCAGAACCTAAAGGATCTGTTCACATAACAGTCACTTATCAATATTAATTCAGAGCTGTTTTAGCAGAATCACACTTGCTTCCTCAGATTTTCCATCTATGTAGTTCTAGAGGAGTTGGGTACTAAAAACTGAGATTTTAAATGGTACGTCTTTTGCAAAAGAAAATAATACACATGTCGGCAAGATGAAGTACAAAAACAAAATACAAAACACTTATTGGTCTTACAAATAGCATATAGAGTCACTCCTAGCGCAATCCAAGCAAAAGGCATGCTCACAAGGAATCTGCACGAACCAGAAAGCTGTTGGTGAAAATCATTAACTAGAATTGCACATAGTAACATTTAGATTAACGTAACAACAATCGAAATGGCATTAATTATACAAGCTTCCTTAAAACTTAATCAAAAATCACTAGCACACATTCGGTCCTCTCTAGAGTAAAGGTAATTCATCCATACCCTCTAATCCTAAGCTTACAAGATAAAGATATTAGCACAAGAAACCAACAAACTTTGTTGTCAAGAGGCTTATATGTGATTATGCAATGATACTTGGTTCTTTCAAACAAATAACAAGATCTTATTTAAATTTATATCCAGGGATTTCATGCATAACAGTGTTTACTTATGCTCTTTAAACAATATAATACCGAGAGAGAGACAGCAGATATATATGTATGTATGTATGTGTGTGTATATATATATTAGCAACAAATAAGCTTTCAATACAACTGTCCAGAGTTCATACAATACAATACCATAACTTAATTACCTTGTGACACCAAAAGAATAGGAGAAAAGAAAGAAGAGAATATGGCATGCTATTTGGATGTTACTTGTACTCAAATGGGTAGCAATTAGCCACAAGTGAAATTGGCTGTTTACTACTAATAATATCTTAATATCTTCAAGTATTTTATTGTTTAGTCAACTCATCATACTAGAACTTTTTAATCGGTTCTCTTGTTCATAAGTTCGATTTCAAGTTTTACTTGTACTTGTATATATAAAATGATGTAATCTACTATGATTCAATATCAGCAAATTATATGCTAAGAAATTCTTTGAAATTGAATGATTCAAATTCTCCTTCAGTACATTTATTTTGGTGGAAAAGCAGTAGAGATCCTAGAATATGACTTATGGTACTCAAAATACTAGTTCAATTTTAGCCAAATACTATAACACATGCTCCACATCATCTACAAACTAGGACTTCCATCAACTTATAATACATGCTTCGTACTTGAGTAACATGTAGGCCCTGATATCAGAGTAATGTTGTTTGTCTGAAACAGAAACACCTCGATTGTCAGAATATTGTGCAAGGAACAAACCCTAGACACCCAGTCATTCAATATTAGCATGTAAATTGAATAAACAAGAGTAATTTACTGGGACTCGCATGAGTATTAACAAAAGGATATAATAACAATTACTGTCAAGGTAAATAAGCTAAGGATAGGACTACATACCAAACGTCCATAAATAGCTATGGGGAAATCACATTGAACACAGAAATGGACACGTTCACCAAGTGGGCGACGGGACCTACGACCAACGGTTTTCACAAGAGTAACACCACTAGCAGAACCAAGGCTCTTGGCCACAGGAAGCTCAGCAAGGACAAGGTGATCAGGGCATGCAACCGTCACAGTCTCCCCTGATGGGAGCTTTGCCCCTACACCACTTTCTGAAGCTGTAGCCTTGTTGCTAAGCCGGATTTGAAGCATCTTTTCACCTCTGGCCTCAGCTTCAAAACTGTGCCTCAAGTCCACAACTAATACAAGTGTCTTTCCACTGCACAAGGAAAGATTAAGCATTGAAAAACAAAATTTAGCAAGGTGATGCTACTTGCACTCAGAAATTTGGCCAACAAATCCATCTCTAATCACAAATAGAACAACTTCTTTAGAGTGCATTTCTGAGCATATTCATCAAACACCATGGAGTACATAATTCATGTCAATACTTGATGCTAATGTTTCAATTTTGATAGAGATAATTTTAATGTTTCCAGTGAAGAAACATAGCTTGATTGTTAATGGTTTATCCAAATTGGTTGTATTAAAATGAATAACTTCTTTTGCATAGACGGAACAGTGTTTTATTCATCATAACAGCATTTTTTGTTTCTCTGTGAAGGAGGAAATATTTCAGTATATCTCAAGGTTAGTAATTATAATAGCCACAGTAGCATTTTCCAGCAATAAACTAAAGACATTGTGTACAAAGGGTACAGATGATAAGATAAGCCAAAAATAAGAGTGTATGTATAAAAATAATAATTCATAAATTTGAAATGTAATAACTGAACATCCTTCTCAAAATAGGAAAACGAAAATTCTTCATTCTAAGAAGCAAGAGGTGCAAACTCTTCACCAAATTGAAAGCTAAAACAACAAATTCAAACCCCTAAAAGAAGACAAATTCTCTAGCTTCCTTGAGAAAAAGAAGAATGTACTTGACCTCTGGAGGGAGGGGAGAACTACATTAAACCTCATAAAAGATCTTACAAAATGAAACTAGTTGGGGATAAATTAGAAACACAACTCACATAAATTATGGATAAGAAGTACTATGTTCAGGCATCAAACAATTAAAGTTCGTTGTTTGACAGTTGCCGAATGGTTTGATGCAGAATGATTAAGTCGTCATGATTAAGAGACTCTGTATGATATAGAGCATAATGAAATATGGTTGTTTGATAACTATTCTGAATGGACAGTCTAAATGATAACAAACTACCATTTTAACAGTCTATATCATTTAGTTCTGAATGAAATATAGCTGTTTGGTAAATATATGAATAAAACAATAGCTTTGCAAATATAAACTACATACTCAATATTACTCGTTTAAAACAACATTTTATATTAATCCAAACAAGCATAGCATTACTTGTTCAAGTTCTACATTAAACAAAAACAAAGAAATCAAATTCAGTATAATAGTGTCTCAATAATTCTTTATTTGACACATGTATTCATTGTTCTGAGTACCAAAAGGCCTTCCATCCATTTCTTCTTGTCCCTCGGCAATAAACACAAGGTCATTGTCGTAATCTATGAAGAACTTATCGTGGCTTAAGACTACTAGATGGTTAAATTAAATCAGAAACAAAGTATGGCACATAATTGAAAAAATCAACACAATAGTAACAAGTGTCCATAGTGCTGAGAAATGCATAAAGGGCCTTGGTATAGGATTCAAGCAAACTACAGTAGGTGTTAAATCAATTTCCATGTTAGTGGTTAGGACTAGTAGAAGGTGTATTGTTAGTGAGAGATATAACCTAGAATATGTGTTACAATTAATGGACAAAGGTAAATGGCCTGAACATATAAAAAGATATAAAAATAACCCATAATAAAATTAAGACGCTATTTACTTTCCTCACATGATATACGACAAACTGAAAATCTTGAAATGCTGGATGGCGTAACCAAATTGAACTTGATACATCTAACAACCGCACAGCAAATTCATACTTGAAAATTGTACAACTCACCCATATATATCTCTCAACATCTATTTGGTGCAGCATCTTCCATTAAACACTTTTTCCAGTTTTACAACTTATTTTGAGGCGAAAAAGGTATAACGGGCAAGCCATGGAACAACTGGTAAGGTTACTCCTTTCTGGCAGCAGGTCATGAGCTCAAGTCATGGAAACAACCTCTTCACAAAATGCAAAGAAAAGCCAAGGAGCCTTGGGTAAACAGGTCACCCTTTTGTTTAATTGTACTAGTCAAGATGAAATAAGCTATAGCTCCGCTTCTTTAAAGAAAACCCCAAAAAAAGAAAACAAATCTTTGTTTCCCTTAACATAGCAATCAAATTCAACATATATAATAGTTTTTCAGCATAGATGACTTGGAATCAATATTGCAAATCAAAAAGATGCAAACATCGATGACTTGGAAGCAATATTTTATGTTTCAGTTTTTTGAATTGATGACTTGGAACCAATATTGCAAATAAAAAAATTTCTTCAAATCCCCTCTGTTTACAGACTGCATATCAAAAAGAATTCAGGTCTGCATATTATCAGCAATCGAGAAAGAAGATAACAAAACAAGCTTTTTGTTCTTAATCTTCTTGGTCTTTCTCTGTTGCTAATAAAACAAGAGGATGAACACATATAAGGAGAAGATGTTGCTGTTATCAAGAACTTCGCTTCTCATGTAAGTTCTTTTGTGTTCTTTGTGCAATTTCTAAGATAGTTCCATGTGATTATCCTTTGTTGCTGATGACTTGGAAGCAATCAAAAACAGAAATCGAACAGATCGATGTTAACAGTTATGATTATCCTTTATCGAACAAATCAATGTTAATAGGAATCGAACAACGAAACACAAGAGATTCGATTTTTGAGGGGGATTGGATTCGTGAGAATACCTGAAGGAGAGCGACGCGAAGAAGAATCCTGAAGGAGAGAGGGCAAAATCGAAAAAATTAGGGCACTGCCGGAGATGATGGACCGAGACTGAATTTGGCCACTCGGAGACGATGGGCGAGATGGTCGGGGCTCCGTTTCGGTATTTATATAGTCGAAGAGTATGTACGGGTTTGGAATTGGATCCGAATTGGAAAAAATAATAATTTCCTTTTAATTTGAAAAATAAATATTTAAAACAATATTATTCCTTGTATGAAAAATAACACTTGTTTTGATTTTGATTCTCGACATGACCGAACACTTTGTGTTTACGGGTGTTTATGAGTTGGATTGGTCGGGTTGAAGACATTTAAATAATCCAACTCAATGTTTATAGTTTGAAAAATCTTTACTCAAACCAAATTACAACCCAACCCAACCCAAACTGTACGGGTTAGTCGGATTAATACTTTAGTACATTAAAATTTTCTTATAAACTTGAATATGTTATTTCTCTACTCATAATTTCTTTTTCATCATCAATCATTTGATACAACTTATTCATATTTCTTACGTATATCACATTCAGTTAGTTTTTTCAATTTACATATATATAGTCACAGTTACTGAACATATATATAAATAAGTTATATAAAGATGTGAATAGATTGAAAATATATGTATATGAAGAGCGTACGTAGTAGTGTAATTGTCTAATGTATATATTAATAAAAATTCAACAATCATATTAAATCCAAGAAATAAAAGGATATCTGGTTCATCGGGTTGGGTTGAGTTTAAATAATAGTAACTCAATATCAATTCAATAACTACAGTTTGGAAATTTTACAACTCGATTAGACATCGGGTTGAGTTATTTCGCATTTAGTTGTGTTGGTCTGGTTGGTCGGGTTTTTGAACATTACTACATGTGTTCAAAAAAGTTCTCAGATACTTGTTATGTTTCTTACTGATTAAGATTTTCAATCTTTGTTATATTTATTTAACGAAATAATGACATCCGATAAACATTTACGACTTATTACCTTTTATCCATTAAGTATCTGATAAATGACTCCTAAATATAGTAATCTTTCAAGTATATAAAATGATAATCTTTGAACACCAAAAAATGGATCTGAAAAGTTTCTCATCTAAAAATCGTCAATTTTACTAAAAAAAACTTATTTCATTAAATATATAATTTTTTTTTCATCTATCACATCAATAATTAGAGTCTTGTTTTAATGTTATCCACAAAAAGGGTGTTGTTATATGTACCGTTATTTAGACATGGTCATGTGGGCCCGCCCCAGCCTGCCCTGGGACTCGTCGAATGATCGGAACCGAGACAGGCAAAAGACCGGCCCGACCTATGACCAGTAGGGACTGGTTAGGGGACCGTGGTTCAGGACTGGTTTTGGTTTTGGGTTGTTTTGAGGGACCGCTCGGGCCAGCCTGTAATTTTCAAAAATTTAGTCGTTTTTCTAGCTGTTATATGATTGTTTTTTGCAAAATGTTACCATTTTTTTCGTTGTTTTGGCCTCCTAAACACTATATATAAGTGTTATGGTGTATGTGGTAAGATATCAACTTACAAAACGCAAAAAAACACAAAAATGGTTTATTAAATATGACGATGATAAGGAACTCGACATTAATAACCTTGATAATCAAGAGGCTATTAGAAGAATTCAAGCCACCGGAACTCTTCAAATCAATTCGTCATGGGATTCCGATGGTCAATAAGGGGTTGTTTACCTAAATGCTTACCCGGTAAATGCTTACCCGGTAAATGCTTAGGAGTCAACACTACAATTTATTTTACTGGGTAAAGTTGTAGTAGATCAAAATGTATCTCATGCAACAGTTTACCTAGCAAACACTTACCCAGGTAAGAGTCGTCACCCTCACTTACCGGGTAAAACTCTCCATCATTATCATCGTTATTACCGGGTAAGATTCTTGGCCCTTGTCATGTTCATTCGGTGAGAAAAATTACCCGTTAAGTACTTATCGGATAAGCGTTTAGTAAACGGTCTCTAAGTGTATTTTTTAATAATTAAATATTTGAATGTAATTTTAAATCAAATGGATTTTAAAGTGTATTTGAGTGACCCAATTACATATATTAAAGTGTATTAGAATAACATTAAAATATTGTTAAAAAATTCAATTAAAAAAATGTTCTTACAATATAGGACCGATTTGGCGATTTGGGCCCGGGCCGGCCCCGGAACCTGGACTGGTTACCCTAACCGTTTACATTTACCTTTAACTGGGCTTCTATGTTTTTGCCAGGACCTGATGAGTCTGACATGTTACTGTTTCGGTCCAGGACCAATCTTTGGCTATGTGTACCGTTACTTATGTCAAAAGCAGACTAAATCATACATTGAAAATGTAAAAAAAAAAAAACAAGTCTTGATATCGATATGCATGAGTAGATGGTTAATAAGTAGATGTGCATTTAACAATATATAGCGATGCATTTAGCTTTCACCGTAAAATTATAACGTGGAGTAGACGTAATAACTTATTTAAAACAATTTTAATTATTGTCAAGATTTATAACATCGACGAGTAAGATCATCTCCAACATGTTTTTCAAAATACAGAATCAAAATTCAAAATATCCCAAAAAATTACATTCAACTCCAACAGTTTTTATATTTTGGAAATCACAACATTAATTATGTTATTAAAATATTACATATATTTAATAAAATATTACATATATTTTTCCATTTCCTTTAAAAGTTATTATCCTTGAGTTAACCATGACCAATAGATGGCCAAGGGACCAAAATCAGTAAAAAGTGCATACCACAGGGTTATCTATGTAATAAACGATATCTAGGGACCAAAACCAAATTTTCAACCTACCATAGGGACCAAAACCATAATTTACTCAAAATTATGAAATTTAGACACACACCTGACCAAAAGTAGCCGTATGAGAATGCGAATATATGATAATAGATTCGTGTAGAAGTTGAAGTGCAAGCAATATACGAACTGATCTCGAGAGGGATGTTGTTAGTTATTGAGGTATTCTTGATTTTTTAGGTCGTTACACGCATAATTCAAGTTTTTTAAACTCGTTTATAAAATCGAACCCGTTAACTTATGTATTAGCTTTCGCTTGAAGTCCAGTAATATACAACTTTTTCTTTGATTATATGACTTGTATATGGTATGCACGTATCGCTCAACTCTATTCAACTTAATCTAAAGAATTTAATCGAACTTTTGAACGACTCGCGTCAAAATTGACATTTCGTCACTCATTTCGTTAATTTAAGCGAATTTTCGTGTGTGTTCGAGAACGACTCGAGCTCTAGTTGCTCGACAAGTGCTCAATGTATAAATTCTGAATTCCTTTGTGGCCAAATTAGAAGTTTTGAAAAACTTGGGTCCCACATTAGTAAATAACCTATGTCTATCCTACCGGACCCCACTCCCAATGTCTCCTGATCCAAAAAAGAGCTTCCCGGCGACAACTACTCCGTCGTAAATCTCGTCTTGCCCACGGTTGTTCAGCGGCGGTGTACGGTGGTTGTGGATGGCAAGAACCAATAAGTACACCGCTCTCAACTTCAACGACATCTTTGAAAAAGAGGCCACCTCCACCGCCAACAAGCATCGCCGGTATTCTTCTTTTTCATCATCATCATCAACTTCTTTAACAACTCCTCCGGGAAACAAAACCATTCTCTCAAATTCACGCATCCATGGAAACATGCTTGTCTTGAACCTCCCTTCTCCCAAACCGGTCACTCCCCCTTCGCAACCCTCCCCTCCCCTTTCTCCGGCTGCGACTCAGCCTCCTACCGAGAAGGATACCATTTCCCTCCGGCCTCTCGGGCGAACTGGGTCCGGTCCACCATTGTCTCCTTTGGCTTCTTCTCCTAGTGGACAGAATAAGAACTTGCCGATATCGCCGAAGACGAATAAGTTCGTGCCACCTCATCTCCGGCCGGGTTTTCTCGGGAGGGAAGAGAAGCCTGGAGTGGATCAGCGGTCGAATCTTCGTCAAGGTCCGAATTATGATGGGGAAGAAGGGAGACCTAAAACAGGTGGTGGGTACGAGAGAATGGATACTGTAGGAATCAATCGGTCCAGGTCTATCGGGTCAAACAGACCCAATTCGAGTGGATTACAATGGTAATTATGCTTCTCTTCTCTTTAATCTTTTCTTGTGTTGCCAGTCCGACTGTGATACAAACAAATTCATTGATGAATAAGTGAGAAAAGATATGTGCTATTCATCATTATTCATTGATGAATAGGTTGGTCCTTTTGCTACTATTCTCATTCATTTTAACCAAATTGGTATAGCTTTTTGGGCAATATTCAAGTTAGAAATTTGGTCCTTGAGGTCATGGCGTAGAATATCCCTGTACCCTTTTGTGGGTTCAAAGAAATGTAACAGATGCAGTCATTTATCCCACCTTGGTTGATTAGAGCGGTTATTTCCGTGAAGATCCACGGCTTGTTTTTACAAATAGTCTCAAGATGCCAAAGTGGATGTTAGTGGCCATTTCCTAGGAGATTAGAGTTCTAATGGTTGATGAATTGACCATTGAAGTCATGTAGGCAGGGCAGTGGGACATTTGCATACTAAATTTATCATCTACAAGTAGAATAAACCAAACCAAAGGAGCCTAGTATATTCCATGCCGAGGTGTGGTTAGGGGTGGGATGTATGTATCATGTATGTAGACTTCACCTTGATGCTTAAAAGAGTAGAGCAGCTGTTTCCATGAAGACCACCGACTTGTGACAAGTGTTGGAAATATATAGAAAGATTCCCGTAAGAGATAAGAGGAAAGAGCAAAAGGTGAAGGTCCCAAAGAGACACAACACAAGGAGATTGAGTTAGAAGTCAACATCATCATACAAGGAAGTAGGTACGACGATACGAAGAAAAAAACATACCCCTAATGTAACGTAGGAATATGCTAACTTCAACTGCCGATTCACTAACTCTATCCTCAACTCTCTACCTCGTTGGTTCCCATCTATGCTAGCTACAAATCGATAAGTAGAATTGTATGACAAATGGATGCATGTCAAATCCTCATACTTAACTCGTCCTCCATTGCCACACGAGAAATAGTAACTTTGTACGATATTGTGATTAGGTTCGTTAAGATTGAATAATACATAATTGCTGTGAGCATTTCCATGTACAATAAGAAATGTGTTCAGCATTCTTCACATTATCGTAGCTTATCAATTTGCAATGCATGAATTTGTAGCTAATGCTCACAATGAAAAAGGCGAATGATGTAACTTATTTACTCTTTATAATTAACTAAAGGACAATTTTTCCCTTAATAACACACAGAAATATTATCCATTTCATAGTTAAGGGTAGAATGGGAAAGTAGACATTTATTTTGGGACGGAGGGAGTAATTGGCAACACCGGTTAAATACAAGTGTTATGGTCTGCTAGCTTTCCAAATATTGAAACAACACCTGGTTCTTTGATCGAGTGTTTGTAGGATATTGAAGCGACACCTGGCCTTACGCTAATAGAATTCGGTTAATGGGAATTTAGTATACGTTTGTTATGCCTCTAATGTTCTTCCAATTAGTTCTTCAACATGATTTTTAGGTCATTTTACATTGTCATCTAATCTATCAGGTAGTTTTTACCAAACAATGCCTAGTTTAAGAGCTAGTGTTTTAGCCGTCGGCTGGTTTGCCTAACATGGTCTAAGGTTTATTTGGAGTGTCTCGGCCCACAGGTTTGTTTCTTTTGCACCTTTATACCTTTGGGGTTCCCTTCATACTAATTATCATGTTCTTTTACCTAATTTCTCTAATTGTCAATTCTCCTTTGTTATCCCATCTTTTGTTTGGTTACTAGAATAAGGGAAAGATCAATTAGGAACCGTAAATAATGAACCAGATATTCATAATGAGTTATATAAATATACATGAATATTCTTTCATGATGAATATTTGGTTCTTGCGGGTTCTCAAATGACCATGCCCCTACCTATCCATATGCTGCAGCACTCTACAGTCGATTGTTGTCTCCTAGGGGTCTGTGCCGCCACTGCTGCTTCTGTGCGCAACACCATTCTTGTTCTATTGACTTTGCAGCCAGTGGCGGATCGTATAACTGAAACCGAATAACTCAACTGAACCAAAACAGTTTTGGTTATTCGGTTTTCGGTTAAACGAATAAGGTAAGTTTCAAGTTCAATTATTTTTTTTACCATATCGGTTAATTGTATAGCAAATTATACTATTATTTTATATAATTTTCTTCTAAATGAATTGGTTTGAACATATATAAAGTTAAACATTAGGTTAATTGATTCATCTTTTAACTAAAAGAACAAGAAATTGAGATATATTTAACAAAACCATCAACCAATGTTAGCATTGTAGCATGATTGTAAGAACTTGCGGTAACAAAACAATCAATGTGTGGGGAAACGACTGTCAAGTGAGGGAAGGGGGGTTTCGTCAAAATGGACTGGGCCACTAGGGGAGCCATCCTAAGTGACTGGGGGAACTAAGCACATCTGAGTGAAGAAACTTATTTTTTACCTAGATTACTATAAAAAATTGAACTTTGAATGGGGGCCTTTCCCCACACCCATTCATATGAGTCTGCCCCTGTTTGCAGCTGCCCAAATAGGGGTGCTGAATGGGTAAGAAGAATATTGTTTACCCACACCCTCTGACCCACAATGTTGCTGATCGAAATGCTGTCCGCTTAAGGATCAAGAGCCTCCCTTACTCGGTTAGCACGGGTAGATGGCCCTTAAACTCGAATGATCTTCAAAAGATGAAGTCAGTGATCACTAGTATGCGATTAAGGGTATTGATCTTTAAATACTAATCTCAAACTTACTATTGGATCCTTGGCAAGTGTTTCCAGAGATTTTTATTATATATATATATATATATATATATATTATATTCCAATAAGGAGGGTACAATTGTCCATCACAATTGTGAACCACTGCTCCATGGTTCATTTTGGCAAAGGGCATTAGTTGTGGGGATAATATGTAATATAGTATCCTAAACACATTAAACCAAATATCAGTACATAACTAGGCGAAGGATCGTGTGAGAAGGAAAGTTAAGGTGAGAAGCGTAAGAAGGAACCCGGACCTTTGATCACCTTTAATCTCAAACCCACCCATGAATCGGGCTTGATATGGGGATTGATCCGGTGCATCTTGGTGCATCTCATTCTAATGTGCATCTAAGGATGAGATCCCTTCTTATGCTTCACACCTTAACTCTCCTTCTCACCAGAACCCAATCCTACATAACTACTCTAATGCATAAATAGACGAGGCCACATCATTAAAATGCATTTGATGATGAACTAAACATTTTACACTATTTAATCCCATTCAACATGTATTATGCTCTACGCAATTCAACATTTAGCTTCAAATTTGGTTCATTGATCCATGTTTGTGAACTTGGGTTTGAACAAGTGTAGCTTTTTCACCATTTTCCCATCACATTGGTTGTTGGTTATGACGATTTTGATTACAAGACATGGGATGAATATGCATCGTTTCACTATTAATCATCCCATCAACCCGTTGTAGAATAAGTCAGATGGTTTCACCTAGTCTATGAAGGTTGGAATCAACCAAAATGTGCTCAAATTTGCCTTCACTTTTGTCGTGTTTGTTCCTTGGTTAACATGATAATTTTATCTTAGATAACTTGAAAATTCCTAAACGACCCTTTGGTCTCCCAGTGCCCATTTTAATAATGAAGCTCTCACTTTAGCGTTGTCATTGTGTTTTCACTACTGCTCTTGAATGTTGTTTGGCTTCCTAGAGTGTGTTTGAGGCACCATTGAGGATGGTAGAAAGCCACAAGATAGCACTTCAAGGGTGCCTTTGGTTTGCTTCGTTCTCTTACCATATTAAATAGAATGATCTTAAATGGCGAAAACGAATATTTTGTTGGTTTCGTCATCGGTATTTGATTCAATATGGTTTTAACTTGAAACTTTTGTTCGGTTACAGATGACATTTGGAAGGCGATACGAATTCTTAGCTTAAGGAAGAAGGGAAGTTGTAAATCTGTCAACAGTTGCAGGTGCAGGCTCAGGTGCAGATGATGAATGAAATTTGACAAAGAAGCTCCAATTTGTTGAAAGTAAACCTCCAGTTCATGGAGCTTCCTTCAATTCACCACCAATATATCATCTTTCAGATACAACAATCAATCAATAATTCACTGTTTAAACACTTTGTAATAATAAACGCACTCACTTTTATGGATATGTATATATATATATATCCTACAAATATATGTCATCTTCATTAAACCTATGGCTCATTTCATTTGTATCCAATTTCAAGTTATATGGTACAAGTATTTAATGCACACGAACGAACCAAGATGCAGAAAATGATTTCGTGTCTAATAAAGATTCGTAAAAATGTACCTATATCTAGTTAGTGCATATTACTCCTAAATGCGTAAGGCTCGGGCCTTCCAAGTCTGTTTTCAGTTTGCAGGAAAGAGTTGGGCTTTGGTTGTGAAAATAGGCATGATCGAGCTTTTTAGGCCTGGATTTTCAGGCTTTCAAAAGTAATTTTGCCAATAAGGCCTACATTGTTGGTGTTATGACTTATTCTAGTGTATAAAGTTGTATTTGATTCTTTAATAAAATTCTAGGATTTTTCTTTGTTAATCTGGTTATCCAACCCGTTATGCGAGCCGACTAATTATAGGACGACCACCTGCTTTGAAAATAGGATTTTTTGGGTCAGGTATAACGCTTCGGGCTTTTTGTACAATCTCTAACTAAATCTGCAGATCATAGTTTCATCCACAAACCAAACAAAAACTAAGTAAACCTAAAAGCTTACCAAAAATAAGCATATTAAGTACCATAATGATAAACGTCCTAAAATACGAGTACATTGCATCATCTACGATTAGGGGTAAAATTGTCATTAAATTGATTAAAAAGTGTAAATAATTATATATTTCTAAATTATGCGCTTTTTTTATCGTAAACATTTATTTTAAGATTTAGGGTAAATAATTACCCTAATTTAAAGAGGGTTGCTTACAAATGTAGCAAATATGAACAAGAAGTAACTCAGGACTAACAGTAGTTGCTAAAATCTTCAAACTACAAACATGTAAATTTCCCTACTCAAGGGTAAAAATGGCAAAATTCAGATATACCAAACCAAACCAAACCAAACCAGTATATCGCCAAAGCCAAAAGGTTCGGATAGTTGGGTTTTATTCAACTTTGCAGATTCATATTTTCACTGAATCAATGTGTTCATTTTCTGGTAGAATTGACCAATTTGGTGACTGAACAGCTCTCAACCACTGGAAATCATCAACATTTGCCCAATTCCCAGCATCATCGTACAGATTTGATTCCTTCAAATCGCTTTCAATCCCATCATACGACAAACAGTATGGTGCAAATCGAACCCCAACACTCTGCTCGATTATGGGTCGACTCCTACAACGCAGATAAAAATCACTCTGTTTAGCATGATGAATACGAATCTGATGAGATGCCACCACGAACAAACACCCTTCAACTTCCTCGATCAAGATCGAACCCAATACTGGACCCACATAAATCTTGCAATTTTGCAGCCGGTTTATGAACAAAGTCCGGAAACATCCCTTCAATCTCACCTCACAATTGGTCAGATCCGAAAGCACATATTCTCCAACCTCCGAACTTTTGAATTCCTTTACCAAAACCTCATTTTCTTTACTCCTGAACCCTGGTGAATCCTTAACCTTGTAGCTTGACTGGTGTTCCGGCTCGTTCTTGTTGACGGCGTCAACAAGAACATTGGCGGTTTCAGATTTCTTGGCGGGTTTGTTTTTGAACGAGAATTTTTTTCTGGGTTTGACTTTGGAAGTGACGGAATCTAAGGTTTGTTTGAGGTCGGAGATGGTTTTAAGGGACGATCGAACTTCATACGGAGGTAAAAAGTAGGAGTTTTCAGCGACCAATTTTTCGAGATCAGAGATGGAGAGAGAGATTCTTTCAAGGTCGGATTTGAGATCATGGTTCAGATTCGAATCTGGTATTTGTTGAATCTGGGCGAGGGAAGTCTCGATTGCTTGTTTGGAGTTTGTGAAAACCAAAAGAAATGATTGGGTGGATTCAAAGGAGGGATCTTTCACGTTACTTTTGCTGGAAACACGAGACTGGTGGAGGTTGGAAAGGCGTTCGATCATGGCAGCATGCTTGCGTTGGGTGGTTGGATCAACGGTCGGATCTGTTGAGATGTCATCAGTAGCAATTGTGAAAGCCTGTTGGTTATTCATTGCTGTTGAGAGCCAAAACTTCCCTCAAATATTTACCTGCACCATGTCCAACAGTAAAAACCAAACCAAACCAAATCAAACCCAATATATTCCATCCGAAGGTGGGGACAGTAATAACATATAAAGATAAGACTTATCAGCAACTGCACCATGTCCAACAGTAAAAACCAAACCTAACTGAACCGAACCGAACCGAACCAGACGAACCCAATATATTCCATCCGGAGGTGGGGACAGTAATAAAATATAAAGATAAGACTTATAAATTAGTACTTAATACTCTTATCTGTTTCACAAGAAAGGTACACTTTGACAGAAGAACATCAAACACTAAATTCAAAATGAATATGAACAACTTTACATCTATTAGTCAGCGATTAATACCAAAGGAAATTATTTTTAATCTTATTGACAAAGGAGAAGAAACAGGATTCATATATTGAAATTTATTCATATTTTTATGCAGGTAGAAGAATATACATCAGTACCAAAATTGTTCTTCATCTTATTACACACTTTTTATGGCAATCACCTTCTACGATTCTCAAACTATGGTCTAGAATCTAAATATATCAACACATGTGCTAACATTGTAGCCACAAGCGTATTATGTCTCCAAACCAATCTGTCTTTACTAAACAATTTAGCCCCACATTTCTAACACATCATGATCATTTTTATGTGATTGATTCAAATTTCTATTGAAGCTTAAGTTCAACTAATAATATTAATACTGCCCTCCTCCGAAAAATAGCTAGCACCTTCGATCATCTCCAATGGGGACAGGAAATCTTACCAAATACCAAATCTGACACTAAATCACTCCAATGGGGACACAAAACCTTACCTCAAATTTGGTGGAATGAATGGTACCACACTAAATTTGGTGTAACACTATCCATTTACACCAACCAGATAAGATAAAAAGGAATATACCTACAATCTCACATTTTGGAGTAAGACTTGGTTTACCCATTGAAGAAGATTTATTGTTTGCACCAATACTTACACAAATTTTTATGGATTTGGTGTCACCCATTGGAGATGCCCTTAGCATAACTTATTTTTTTTGCGATAGGTCATATAGCTAGACAAAGATGTTGTAGAGAGGCGGACCTGAAATCTAACACCATCCTCCCAAACTATGACTTCCAATAAGGATGATTGACTTGAGAGAATTACTACCATCACCTACCTCGTAAAGCTGTTAATCTCCTGCCTAAATAAGTTATTCCCAAGCATCCTGGTTGCTTCTTAAAGCAAACTTTTGACCATGCCAATCTGCAAAGCTTCCTTTTTTTTATCACAATCAACTCCATAAGAATCTCCTGCAGGATCCAGCAGTCAAGAACCAATTCTTGCATAGTGTATATATAGTAATTGTAGTCATAGTTGTCATACTATAACATGCTTAAGATCAATTAATCGCAGGAGGTGCTCGAGAAATAGAAAAGCCTTTGGCCAGGATTAAAGAACTGCTGTTTTTTAATATTTATTTATTTATTTATTGTTCTTGTTATCTATTTGGTTTTCTTTCCTACATAAGCAAAACTTGGCTTTTTCCTGATAAATGTATCAAACTAAATCATTTGAGCCATATAGAGAATATAAGACTATATATGATACCAAACATGAGTAATACAAAGATTCATTTGGTTATCAATTAAAATATATTCATTTAGGCCCTAACCCAATAACTATGGCGCAACCCAATTCTCAACTTCTTTTCTTGTTATCTATTTGGTTATCAATTAAAATATATTCATTTAGGCCCTAACCAATAACTACAGACTTACTGCATTCACAAATTAGAGTGAAACACTATATATGATACCAAACATGAGTAATACAAAGATCTCAACTAATAATCCCAATATCATAATATGTACATGTTTTGAGCCTCAGATATCTGATAAATGTATCAAACTAAATCATTTGAGCCATATAGAGAATATAAGACGTAAACACATTATTCAAATAAAAGGATCAAACAACCCCTTGGTGTAATCTTTTACGTGTACAAAGGTTCAGACAGCGAAAATCAAAAGGATAGGTGCAGAGACTCGATGGAAGCTGTTCTACTCAGAAATGAATCAATTTGAAGCTAGCTAGGTCAGTTTCTCCTACATATGACAGCACATATAAACGATGAACAAAACTACGACTCTACTGGCTAGTAACACATCAATCAGAAATAGATAATTAAATATTTTTGTACATATATATATATAGGTCACACAGATAAACTTACTTGTATTATCTCTACACTACTAAATTGAGCTTCTTGATTAAAGGGCCATTTACCAAACATCACCAGGTGTCACTTGTTTAAGCGGGTGGGCCTGGCAAGGACCAAAAATCTTACCTGGTAAGAGACATAGCAAGGACCCATAATCTTACCTAGTAAGTGAGAAAGAAGACTTTAGCTGGTAAGCGCTTACTGGATAGAAGACACTTACCAACAATCCATTTTGATAAAATGTCACCTGATAAAGTAAATGAGGATGGTGACGGGTAAGCGCTTACCTGGTATTCTGGTAAGCGTTTGGTAAATGGCCCCTAAGCATCAATGATTGCAACTGATGATACATTCATGTATATTGGAACAGCTCCATTCTCCATTAATGGCTGCTTGATAGAAGAAAGTAACTAGAAACAGAAGGGGTGGGAAGGAGTAGATCTGTGTAATGGCAGAGGGGAAGAAGGGACGATCACACTATGATCCGTACATTATTTTATTATATCATAAACACCCTCATATTTTAGATTTTCTTCAAAAAGATCTATTTTTTATTACTCCAAGAAGACCCATGATGCCATTAAAAACAGAATTTTCAACTCAAAATAGGGGTTTAGTATTTTTGGGCATGCTTTCTGCTATTCATTAGTATTTATGGAGAAATGATCAATCGTGTACAATCCAATTGCTGATCCTTCTTTCCTTTTCTTTCTGTTTCATATCAAATTTATAATAGACTTCAATAGGTACTGCTAATTACTTAGGTAGAAAGAAATAAAAGATTTAAAATTTTAGAGTGTCATTCACCTCATCAATTGTCCTTGCAATTGAAACTGTGTCAACAGAGGATGAAATCTCTTGGAATTGATGGATTTCTCGTTGTTCAAGTAATGAGAAAATGTTCCATTCATACACACTGGACATGATAGTAGCCCTTGGCACTCCAATCAGAGAGCATACACATATGCAAGAAAAGTCACTTAATTGTCCACAAAAGGGCTGTGCACATAGTGTAAACTTTTCTTTTCCAAGTGCATCATAAGCATCAACACCAATCCACAACTCATTCATTTCATCAATTAAAGGTTCTAAGTAAGAATCAATAGGAATGCCAGGTGACATGCGAGCAGGAATTAATATCGAACAGCAAAGACAAGCCATATGCTATAGGAATCATTTAGTTTATTCTACGAGGATATCCACCTCCTTATCCGCTAGGCCAATGCCGCACACAAATGCATATCCTTTAATATAAGAGGTTCCTGACAACGAGACTATGTAAAAATGTACCTTTTATCATCAACATCATCAACAAACTCCAAAACATACAGATAAATGCATATGCAAATATGAACAAAAACACACCAACACATGCGTATATACATATATTTATACACATCGAGTTGCATCTGCTTATGAACATTATGCTAGCATCAAAGTTCTCAAATCTGTTGAAATAGTTGGGAAACATGTACAAAGTTGAAGCTTTCTTTGGTTATAATCCTGCGGAAAACTGGACAACAGCAGGCTCAGATTTTGGATTGAAGGTCCTATGACGAGCTCATTAATGCTCTAAGACTTTGTAGTAGACAACAATTTTGATGGATTAAACAACTATAAGATCATCTGGTGCAAAAGCAAGCATAAAACCTTCCTCACGTATATCTTTCTTTTAAAAATATATCTTCATTTTGTCGCCTCTAGTTGTGCACTCATATACTAGAATATATGGCACAAGGAAGTTTCATAGAGGAAATCCCCTCTGTTTTTCCTTATCTTCATACCTGATAGGCTTCAATTCTGGAAACAAAGCCCTGTAAAAGGTCATTTAGCAATGCCAATTTGTGATTCTTGTTGGTTGTTCATCAGATTGCCATGTGAAATTGCTCCTCACATTAGGACGTAGGTTTGAACACTTCCTCATATATAATTTAGTGTTCATCACCTCTGCTACTGCTTCTTTTATTCGATCTGTTGTATATAATCTTGATTACATTGATTTGGGACGAATCATGTAATTACCCACTTATCGGCAATAAGTATGTATATATGTTAATCTCATTCATCATTTTTAACACCATCCACTATGTTGTAACAATTGAAAGAAAAACTTGTTAGAAATCAGGAAATGAAACTAACATGGTGCAAAAATACCCCCTACAGGATAGAAGATTGCATATCTTGTACCTTTTATGCCTGTAAGTATCAAGAGATAAATATGGTTTCTATGGGTGTTTACGGAAACAGCCACTCTACCCTTTGGGGTAGAGGACATGTATGTGTCCAGGGTTTATGTGATTTGGTTCGGTTTGGTTTTAGTCAAACACAAACATTAAACTATGTGCATAGTCATGCATTATTTTTGGGATGCAAAGAGCAATATGTAAAAGCTGCAAAAGTTCTTTACCTATGTAGAAATCTTTTGCAAAGTAGTTGGTGGCTGGACAAGTTTCAGACACTTCAGTCTAGAAGGGATTGACTTAGTAGTTATTTGGTTGCTGCATCACCCTTCATTACCAATATTCCATACATGAACAAGAACCTTGCCTAAAGTGGTGAAAGCGATGTCGATCCCTCACCACTATTTCACGGTTAAATGCTTTGGAGATGAGCTTTGCCAATGCATGACAATCATTACATATCCGTAAGTTCTTCATTATTCTAATAGGATTTGGAGGATCAATCGCTATAAGCCCAAAAGCAATTGCAAGCTTTTCACTATGCCTAAAGAGGGTTGTTTCCTTCTCTTCATCATCAACGTCAAAGGAAACCTCATTCATATCTGGGGAATAACCAAGCATCTTCACTCTCTGAGTAATAGTATCTAACATTTCCTCAATCTCATGAATTTGAGGGTGTGCCTTGTCCCCAGCTAGAAATTCATGCACTACACCATTAGCTTCCATTATGCTGCACCCTGGCATTTTAACAACACCTTGTTGAATCATCGTCCCTCTTATCTCTGCAACATTATCCCAACTTCCTTTCGAAGCATATATATTTGACAATAAAACATGAAATCCATCATGATTAGGTTGAAGCTCAATGAGCTTCCTTCCTACCCTCTCTCCCACATCATTAGCACCATGTTTCTTACAAGCGCCAAGCAATGCACCCCATGTAGCAACATCTGGTGCCATAGGCATACTATCAATTAGTTGTTCTGCTTCTTTAAGCAACCCTGCACGCCCAAGAAGATCAACCATGCATCCATAATGTTTGATATTGGGTTCAATATTGTGCACATTGATCATGCAATCAAAGTGGCGACGCCCCTCACGGACCAAGCCCATGTGCCGGCAAGCACCAAGCACTGCCACAAACGTTATCTCATTGGGAACGACACCAAAACTTTTCATTTCTGAGAACATTTCAAGTGACTTTTCCACCTGCCCATTCATGGCTAGACCAAGAATCAAAGCATTCCAAGACGATACTCCTTTTTTCTCCATGGTGTAGAAGACCTCCTCTGCACTTTTGACACACCCTAGCTTCATGTACATGTCTATAAGGGTAGTACCAAGAATAATATTAACCTCCAAATCTTTCCTTTTTATATATGTGTGAACCCATGTACCTTGTTCAAGACTAGCAATATGAGTACACGCCGATATAACACTGACCAATATGGTTTCATCAGGCTTAACATTTCCATGAAGCATCATCTCATGGAACAATGCCACAGTATCATCGAATAGACCAATTTGTGCATGGCCTGATATCAGTCCACTCCATGAGACAACATCCTTTTCAGGCATAGAATCAAACACTTCCCTAGCCTTCTTGAGTAAGCCACATTTTGCATAGCCGGAGATCATAGAGTTCCAAGAAATAATATCGATGTGGGAACTTGAATTAAAGAGTTTTTCCGCAGCTACTATATCTCCACAAGTCGAGTACATGTGAATCAAAGCATTTTGGATGTTAACATAAGATTCGGTTCCTCTTGTTAGAACTAATCCATGGACAGATGCTCCTGTCTTCACAATTGATGAATGTGCACATGCAGAAAGAACGCTAATCACTACAACTTCATCTATCTTGATTCCTCTTTCATACATTTCAATAAACAAAACCAAAGCCTCTTGATACATGCCAGTTTGCTCATAGCAACTTATCAATGCGGTCCATGAAACAAGATCTTTCTCATTCATGTCAACAAACAACCGGTATGCTTCAGCGATAAGACCGCACCGGCCAAACAACACAATCATAGAATTCGATGCAATTATATTCTTTTCAGGCATCTGATCAAATATCAACTTTGCTTCTTCTACATTACCCATGTGAACGTATCCTGCCAAAATCGAATTCCAAGAAACTGAATCTATCACAGGACTTTCATCAAATACCTTCCTTGCATCCATCATATTGTCACAAACAGCATACATATTAATCAAAGTGTTTCGTACATAAACATCTGAATCAAAACCCATCTTCACCACATGATCATGTATCTCTTTTCCCTCCAAAATTGAATACCTAGCAATGCAAGCTTGAACTACTATAGGATATGTGTAGCTATCCGGATAAACCTTGTTCTTGTTCTTTAACATCAATGCATAAAGGAAAAACGTTTCTTTTGGATTATTTGTCTGCAAGTACGCACGCATCATGGTGTTATAAATAAACCCATTGGAGTTCTCAACGTGATCAAAGATTTTACGAGAGTAATGGACATTAATGAACGAGGATTGACCAGTACAGAAGTTGAGGATCCTGCTTGCTGCATATGTGTCTTTGATGAACCCGGTAGAGATCATTTGAGAAAGAATTTGGTCAAATTGCTTGAGATTTTGGCATTTAAGCAGAAGGACATCTACAATGGACTGATTTATTGTTGTTTTATATACTGATTTGTAACTCAAAGTTGATTTAATCAGCTTTGCAGACTTCATATGAAGTATTATTAACCGAAAGAAAGCCAAAGAATGAAAAGATTGCTCAATGACCTATTCACTGTCGACTCCTGCACATAACCAACGGTCAATTGGAGTTGAACAGGATCTCTTCAATGGAAGTGAGTTTTAATAATAAATAAACAGAGTAAACTCCACCATTTCTTTTGCTCCTAAATAAGTTGTTGAAACCCCTTTTTGATCCCAAAAACCATCCAAATTAACTATCATTAGGACAAAAACCCATCATATGGGTCGTGTTATACCTATTTAATAACATAAAGACATAATCATTCTTTTCCTCATTTATATATCAATGATTCATTCCCCTCCTCTATTCACAAAGTAAGTTTGGTATGTCAGGGGATTCCCATTTGAGCACTTGTCTGGCAAACAATATTGGAACTGTTTTTACACAATTTTAACTGCTTCCAATAGCTCATTTGTTGATGTCCAAGTTTATTTTTTGCAATTAGGCAAATAGCTACCCAAACATGAAATGATTTACAAATTACAAACCACTCATTTAACAGTAATTTGTGTATGTAGAATCTACATCATGTCTATGTAGATACTAATGCATTTCCAAATTGCATTAGAATCCACTACATTTTGCAAAACTTGATAGTTGTAATATGCATGTATCATAGCACCCGTTGATCATACGTATGAGTCCAGATGAAATGAAGCAAACTTCAATTAAGTTGGATCACAGGTTCTTATAAAACAAGGGAAGCAAACAGGCACACAATTACTAAACGTGTTAATAATGATTATAGAAAAAAGATAGATATTAGAGAAGTAGAAGCAGCCCATCACTAAACTCATTTCCATTAAAAATTTATGTGCTGCACAAGAACAAATTGGCATTAGATGGCAGACATGGAGCATCAGATAACATGTTTGTAAACCAACAAATCATAATCCAACTAACATGATCATATGAAACCCAGCCAACAAAAAACAAATTGTCCAAAGACTATTTGCTGGAATTCTTACAGGTCAAGAGGTACAAAGTTTTCTATGAACATGTTACTCAAAACTTGATTCAAAATAGCAGCATTCTAGAGGTACACCACCAACTAAAAACCAGTGAAATGGAGAAATAGATTAAAAATTGACTGCTCTAGTATATAAGGTTACTCAAAAGTCATACGTAATTACATAAAGAAAATTAAGGTTCGACATATAGAAACGAAAAGAAAAGAAAATCATACTAAAAAACATACCTTAAACGATTGTTTGTCTGTGAAATCGAAGTGAAGAACCAAGAGACGCAAAGCGATTGACCGATTGAGCACGAGACACAGAGCTATTGAGCGATTAGGTTACGATGAGATTGGCGGAGAAGGATTCATTAGGTTGAGCGATTGAGGGTCTGAGGCAATGAGCTATGAGCGGGAGGGGAGCATCGATTTCACCAAATTTCGATTTGGTCCCTAACCTATGTCACATTTGATGAAACTGGTCCCTTCTCTTCAGTTATTATAAATTTCTCTCTAACGTATGAAAAATCGACCAACTTTGGTCCCTCCACTAACGGACTCCACTCCCTTCCCCTGATTTGTTATGACCTTCCTCCATCTCCGACACTAATATGAATTTTCTTGTAAACCGAGCCTAATATCAAGGGGCCGTTTACTAAACACTTACTTGATAAGTGCTTAACGTATAAATTTCCTCATCAGATGAATATGAGAAGAGCTAAGAATCTTACCGGATAAGAACGATGAGAATGATGAAGAGTCTTACCCGATAAGTGAAGATGACGACTCTTACCTAGGTAAGTGCTTACCTAGTAAATTGTTGCATTCAATATGCTTTGATATACTAAAATCTTACGCATTTATTATAGTGTTGACTTTTATTGGTAAGCGCTTACCGGGTAAGCATTTGGGTAAACGGCCCCTTAAATGGATGACATTTAAAAAGCAAACCAATGCTCAAATCGTAAAATTAGAAGGTTCATCCTATTAAAAAGAAAAAAAAAGTTGTTACATTTTGATCCATTTAATTACGTGGATTTACACCAGAATAGGCATGAGAATGGGGGAGGGATGAGACTTTGGACCTCAATCTCCATCCCGTCCTTGATCTCTCATCCCCGTCCCTGTCAGGGAATATGATCACAACCCCATCCATATCCCCAACAGGGACGAGGATCCCAACGGGGAAATGAGAATTTGTTTTCCTGTTTATGTAAGTTATTTTAATTCAAATATTTGAAACACCACACATGTTTAAATCCCACATATTTTTAATAAACATAAAATAAAAAAGAATCTGATTTAATACAAAAAAAAAAAAAAAATACAACATCGTATAACAATTAATAACCTGAAACCAAAAGTAATTTAATTTAATACAAAAAAGACTTAACGTCACATGTACCAAAACATATCAAGTAATATTCAAAACATTTCGACTAATTATATTTTTACTTGACATCCAAAATATTATATACTAATATAAAAAAAAAAACAACAATTTTATATTCTAAACTTAGTCAGGAAATATAACATTATGAATTACCTATTTAGTTGAAATAAACAATATACATTTAATCTTTTAATAAATATATATAACGGGTACAAGACGGAGTGGAGAGTGCGATACCCATCCCCTTCCCAGTACCTGGTTTGAGACAAACGGGGATCCCCGTCCCAGGTTTACAAGGAAAAACCCCGTCCCCAATCAGGACAGATAAATTGGTTTTCCCGATTGATCAGGACCGATTCTCATGCCTGCACCAAAGGAGTGTACGTAGATGACATGATGTAATAACCCGATAGAAATGGGTGACCCAGGTTTTGTCGAGACAAATTATAATTGTAGGCTTCGTCCACAACCCTGAAATAAATCTTCCAATGGAGTGTGCGTAGATGACATGATGTGATAACCCGTACGATCACTTACCAAGCAACACATAATGTACATAAAATATACCATGAAAGGTTTATACGATGGGTCCCAACATAACAAAACTATACAAATATCTGGAATAACATATAAACTTTTTGCTATTATGATCTTAATACAAAAGAGGTAATAACCAAACAGATAACTTCATAACTTTCCTTTCTCCTTATCAAATGTACGCAACTGCTCTGAAATGCACATTTTTTAAAACAAAATGAGGATTCGACCATGTGGTCTAGCGAGGAAATCCTTACTAGTTTCAACAGTTCAATAAATTCCAATTATTGTAAAACAGTTAAATTTGTTAATCCAGGTAACTTGTCACAATAGTCGCTACTCAAAATCACACACACCTTGCTACTCAAAACAACTTGCAATCCCTATTGCCTGCCACACAAAACAAATTCGTGGGCACTATATACGTAACTCCCGTTACGCGGACCATTATAGTTCTAACGCACCCTGCTTCTGTTATGCAAGTCCCTTTATAACCAAAGTGTCGATAATTTCTCTACATGTGATAAAATTCAACAATACATACAAATATCGTATTATAATTAACGGTAATATTTCAAACATAATATATAAGTATAACATAGAAGTAATAACATTCAGTAATACATGCATTTCAGTTTCGAAAGGTTATAAGAAAACTCACATTGATCACGAGAATATTCAAAATTCTTAACAGGTAATGGATTCCGAAATTGAACACTCGAAATTGACATAAATAAGCATATACTCGTGAATCGGTTTCATCACCCATCTTTACTCCTACACAGCCTCAACGTCACTTCTCTCCTCAATCTCAATTGCCTACGCCACCTTCCTATATAATACACGACCACCCACTACCACCAGCCTCGACCCAGACTCCTCGACCGTTGCCACGCCAGCCGATTGCCGAACCCCAAACACAACCTTCCTCTTCTTCTCATCCCATAATGACACGCTCCAATCTCGGTATCTCCAAACTTAACCCACGCTATGCGCTTCTTCATACATCACTTTCTATTTCTCCTTTTCCTACCTCTCATATTACCGCCTTAAAAGACACTAATTGGAGGCTTGCCATGCATGCAAGACGAATATGACGCTCTAATTAAAAATGCTGTGGGAACTTGTACCGAGGCCCAAAGATGTTAATGCTATTCGGTGTATGTGGATTTTAATCACAAATTTAATTCTAACGGTACACTTGAGCGCCATAAGGGTTGTCTGGTTGTGAATGGCATGGTTGGTGTGGATTGTCACGAGACTTTCAGCCCCCTCGTCAAACCTGCTACAATCCGTACGGTTCTGACTTTGGCACTCTCAACTCAAAACAGCGGGGTATTCACCATTTTGGATGTGAAAAATGCGTTTCTTCATGGGACACTTCAAGAGGGTTTTTATGCACCAACCTCCAGAGTTTAAGGATATGCACCGACCTCATCATGTGTGTCATTTCCGTAAATCATTATACGGGCTCAAACAGGCGCCACAGCCGTGGTATCATCGGTTTGCCACCTATGTTGCTAAGCTTGGTTTCTCTCACAGCAAGTCAGATAACTCATATTTGTGTATCGTTCTGGACATGACATGACCTATCTCTTACTGTATGTCGATGACATTATCCTCACCGATTCATTCGACACACTTTGCCGACGAATCATCAATCGGCTTGGATCCGAATTTGCTATGAAGGATCTTGGACCGCTAAGCTATTTTTTTGGGAATTTTAGTGCAACAACACCAGAACAGGTTATTTCCGTCACAATCCACCTATGCCAAACAGATTTTGGCCCGTGCCAACATGTCCGCGTGCAACCCGACGACTACTCCCGTTGATCCTTTCTCAAAGCTTAGCACAACTTCTGGGCCTCAGTCAAAGATCCTACCCTCTACTGAAGCCTTGCTGGGGCATTACAGTATCTTACCTTTACACGGCCCAACATCTCATACCCCGTTCAGCAAGTGTGCCTTTTTATGCACGATCCTCGCGAGTCACACCTTCAGGCTCTACGTCGCATTCTACATTACATTCAAGGCACCATACATTTTGGTTTACACTTGTCTCCGTCACCCTCTTTAAATCTTCTAGCCAACACGGATGCTGGTTGGGGTGGCTGCCCAGATACCTGTCGGTCTACCTCAGGATATTGTGTCTTTTTTGGAGATAATCTTATCTCATGGTCTTCTAAGCGACAACCTACTTTATCCCGTTCAAGTGCGAAATCCAAGTACCGTGGGGCGGCTAATGTGGTAGCCGAGACTTGCTGGCTTTGTAATTCATTACCGGCGCTTTGTTGTCCTCTTACTAAGGCTAAGATGGTTTATTGTGATAACGTGAGCGCGATTTATCTTTCCGGAAACCCTGTGCAACATCAACGTACAAAGCATATCGAAATGGATATCCATTTCATCCGAGAGCATGTTGCCAAGGGTCATGTTCGTGTCAGGTAACTTTTTTTAAATACATAACTTTCCTAACAGAATTTAGAATTGACAGAAGAATGCCTGTTTCTAACAGAAGAATAAGAATAGAATGCCTTCAAAATCTAATCTACACTACTTGTTTCAACATAAAATCTAAACCCTACTCTACTTCTTCTCAATATCACAGCCAAATTGGCACTCTAAAAGCACTTATTATTCCTGTAGGAAGTTTTTCCTAATCTTTTCCCATTTGTTGGCAAGTTCTTTCAAGTTATCAATGGCGACATCACTCTGCAATTTCACAGCAACCATTTCTTGGAGGAGCTTCTTTGCTTCATCCATGGAGATGGAGGAGCTCTGATCGAACATATCCGACTTCTGTTTCATCAATCTTTCCCGGCTCAATTCTTTTTCGTGGAGCTCTGCTTTCAACCGAACTATGTCTGCATCCACTTCCGCTATTCTCGACTCGATTTCCGTGTCTTTCTCTTGCCATTCCTGCAAAACCTCGAGGTTATCTCCTTGCTGTGCCTCAAAGGCGATGTTGGTTTGGATGCTTTTATGCCATGCTATCCAGTTTTTGCAGGCGGATTCGAATTCGGTGTGGAGACTCTCGACAACTCGGCCTTGGAATCTGGGAAGTTTGTCGAGGTTTCTGATCAAGATTTGGACCACGGATTTGACGGTTTGTTCATTGGGCGAACCGACTATGGTTTCAAAGTCTTTCTTCAGAAGTTCGTTAAGTGTTTGTTTTGCCTCTTCGGCTTCTTCATCGAGGGGATTATCTCGAGGAGTGTAGAAACTGTCTGGAGAAGTTAGCATAGAAAGCACAGATGAGACCTTCCTTAATTCGGAACATATGTCTTCAGGAGAAATTGCCATCTGTGAAAATAACGTGAACGAGAAGTCAAGCATTAACTAAACATAGAACAATAAAAACATGATCCACATTTTCATTTGTTTCTATAATATGACTTTTATCGACTATCGTTTTCTGTAAGTGCCGAGTAGCTATAGATTCCCACATTAAATGCAACAAAATGTGTTTTCTCACAAGCGTTCAAGTAGTAGACAATATCTCAAAGTGCTTAAATCTCTTTTTCCTATCATTCAAAGCAACCATTAGTAAAGACTGAGGGGTAATATAGTCATTTCTGTCTGAACGTCGTTCAGACGGTTTATGCAGCACCACAACCAAACAACAATTTAGGGCCTGTTTACTTGAGGCTTAATGAGCTTAATGGATAAACTGGCTTATTCGAACAGACAAAATAGGATGTTTACCTCGGGCTTATTCGCTCAGAAATGGGCTTATTCGCCCAAATGAAAAACTTGAGTTGTCCAGGTTAAGCCAAGTCAAAAGACCATCCCTACCCTTATGGCCTTACATTATACTCGCGCCTCTCTCAAGCAAACACCCTAGATTGACGGTCTCTTCTCCATCGGATGCGTAAACAGCCCCTAATCGATCCATCGGATGCCTACTCCATACAAACAACTAAATCCATACGGGGCTTAATGAAAAACCAGCCAAAGAGCCCTTAGTTTATAAAGTTTCATATCATGGGTAAAAAATCTGAGATATCAAGTGTTCACATACTTTACCTCCATTCTTCGTTCTTTTATCTTCATTTGGTGGGCCCCATAAAGACCAAACAGGATACTGTTTTTTTAAAAATTTACGGGGTAAGGTGTTTAACTTATTCATGCAAACTCGGTCATTTAACCAAATGACATATCTCCTTAAAGCCTCTTAGAGATATAACCACATAAACCAACTACTTACACTCGTACAATATGCGATGTTTGGATGAGTAGATATTACATAATTGACCGAGTTTCTTACAATGGTTGCATCTATGCCGTGTTTAATAGGCAGGAAATAAAGGTGGGAATGGAAGGAAACATCAAAAGAAACCAATAGAATATGTTCTGTTACAACTTAACTATGAAATAACCCGTTACTCGAGAAAAATCTTTCCTTCCAGATCCTCATTTGATCGTTAGGAATCTGCTTTGTATATACTTGGTCCAGGAAAAAAACCAACCCAAACAAACTCGATATACCCCACTCAAAAGTAGGGTCCACAGAGGGGGGGATGTACACAAACTTGTCCTCTTGTTCCCCACTCCAAAGGGATGAGCGGCTGTTTCCGTGCAAAAGTGTGAGCTTGGTATGGAATCAAAATTACATAACCAACTACAATCAATTGCATTTTCATAGTTGTTTCTTCTTACTAATAAGGAAAATAAAACTGAACTTGGTTTGTCAAGTTTGGAAAAAGAACCCATTTAAAATTTTGAACAGCACAAGCTAGCTGACCTTTCTTATACGGGCTAACAGAAGCTCTGTTGGCAAAGTGATCTATTTCAAACCAAAAATGATGAAAAAGAAAAGAATAAGTAAAAGTTATGAAACTATTCATTCCATTATGTGGTCACAAAAAACTTAGGCAGAACTAGCCTAATGAAATTTCACTTCAGATAGAAACATCTATCAAAGGAGGTGAGATCTAAATGAGTGAAAACAATTTGGTTAAATGGCTAAGCAGTAGGCAAGAGTAAGCATATTTTAGTGAGAACTCCAAACAGGGTGGGCACTACAGCCTCGTCTAAAACATTCATAATAAATTATATGGCAGGACTACGTGAAAATAAATGGATATAACTCACAAAACACCCTTCTCAATGAGCAACCCTATAAAAGCATTCTGTCAGTTTGGGGAATCCCTTCGATTGCATTGTGAATAAGCCTGTGAAATAATACAAGCATAAAACATTGAGGAGTTCCTCAGGTAAGGAAGTCGGAGATATTTCTATAGCTTTCTAATATTTTAGAACTATTCATCATGGTAGACAAAATATCAGACACTCTGCTGCCTTCATCAGCTGGTGCCACTGTTATCCACCTCCCTATCCTTGGTCACAAGATTTGATGGATCAGTTCTCATCATGTAGCATACATCTGATGTAATCATACCATAATCCTTCTTGAAGGTTTTCCAAACCCAATTTTCATGAAACTTACGTATTAAGCCATATTAGATTCCTTTCAACTTCCTAAAATTTGTAGAATTGCCCCTTTACTCTCGAATTCATAAAAGAGCCTCTGGATTTCAAGAATTGTAACACATACCCTTAACCTCTAGCTTTTCAGAGCATCTACTGGATTTAGAGGATTTGCAGAATTGAACAAGAGAACTTCAAAGAAATTTAAATCTATCTAGAGATTTTTCTGTAACACATAAGGAACAAGTCTGCCAAGTTCTGACTGGAGAGAGAAAAGATCCAACTAGGTTGGACAGAAATCATGAGGATACCGAAGGCCTACATGGGGAGGCTAGACTCCAACCAGGTGCATTACGTTATGGCAATGTCAACCAATTCTAGAGCCAGTCAGCTGAAACCGAGGTAGAAAGGGCTGCCGAAGGTGCAGCGTGACGGCACAGCCTAAATGGTTAGTTAAGGCTGCAGCGCACCCTAGGGAGGTAGCGCTAGGTGATGAAAATCATTTCTAGGAGGGGGATGGTTCTCATGGTGGCACAGCCTTTTTGGGGGTCTGAAGAGTGGTTGCAGAGGCGACATGTAACTGATAGGACCTAACAGCTAAAGTAATTAAGGTTAGGGTTTAGCATTCCAAAGATTATGCTCCCATAGCATGAGAAATATTTGGGTAGGTACAAGGGCCAAAATAATATCCTTCGTCTCTCAAGTATTCTATCCCAATAAATAGTATCCCTTATATGGAAGGGAGAATAATATAAATTTTAAATTAAAATTTTGTAATCACAAGATAGTTACGTAAGCTGCATATTAGAATTACAGGAAATTCTAACATAATACTTTCTCTAACTGAATAGGCAATTTATATAGGAAATTCCGAAGCACATAAAGAGAAATTATTTTGTGCAATTATTAGGGAGTAGATTACAAGTGGTGGGTACTTTCGACATAAACAACAAATAAAAAAACCTACCCCTCCCTCCTATCCAAAAAAATGACAAGCATACTCTATTGTCAAAACATAACTTCCAAATATGAAAATAAAATCCATTTTATTAGTAAGCTATCACCAACAATTTCCAAGTGGTAGTTGTTTCTGTAGTTGTTATAAATTCAATGCAATTATTGTTTTCTTTTCACAGGAGTTTTAGAATCTACAACAACTTTCAAGTTACAATGTAACACCTATTTGATCATCCAAATTCCAAACTCAATCGCTTTAAGCATATTAAGAAAAGTTATCTCATCACTAAGTATTTCTTTTAAATTGACTATTTACCATCTAAAAGAGAATAATCCCAAAAAAGTTACCTGATTCTCATCTCCATGAATCGCTACAATCTGAAGTCTACCTGCACTCTCTTCTTCAGCTATGTTCCCATCAGAATTCTCATTTGCAGCAACAAATTGATCTTCAACTTCAACTTTTATAACCACTTGTTCAGTGTCAAATCGTGGACTGGTTTTCTGCTGGAGGGAAGTCAAAATAATGAGAACAAACGGAAATGAAGAGAGTTGCGAAGGAAGAGAAAGTAATCCAGTCCAGCATCAGTCTCTATTTTGTTCATTGGCTTAGTACCCTAAGGGCCACTAAATGTTTAAGGCTTTGCCAATTTGACGTATCACAAACTTAGAATTTGGTTAGTCCATGCGACATACTAGCAAACTAGATTTAGTTACAATTTTGAAGATGCAGTACTCATTAGCAAGCGCTTAGTATATGAAGATATTTCAAATTGAACCCTCTGGTCTAACTTAATGACTGATTGTAATTTGGCAGTCCACATTGCTTTCTTTAGATTGAGGAGATTGAAATGTATTAGAATATGTGGAACCCCAAGATTACTCTCCAAAAGAGCCCTTGAGGAGAGAAGGGAGGTTCCAACATATATACAGGAGAATTCGTCCAAGTCTAGCCGATGTGGGACTCTAACACGCCCCTCCAACTGAGGCTAGATGGGCAAAGATCCCCCAGAGTGTCGAGAGGGGTTAGGTGGGCAAAGATGTCCCCAAGTGCCGAGTCCCGAGCAAAGATGCCCCAGATGGTAGAACTTGGCTCTGATACCATATTATAATATGTGGAACCCCAAGATTACTCTCCAAAAGAGCCTTTGACAATAACCACAAGGGTGGTGCCTGATTGGTTTGAGCTTGGCTCCAAAGGTCAAAAGTGCCAAGAGGTCCCAAGTTCAAATCCAAGGAGGAACAAAAATCCCCTTGTGACCACGGAGGTTCAAATGCAGTGACTCCGGGCTACGTGCAAAGCAGGTGGTCGCCCTGGGATTAGTTGGCTCGCATAGCGGGTTGGATATCCAGGTTAATCAAAAAAAAAAAAAAAGAAGAGCCCTTGACAAGAGAAGGAGGTTCCAACATATAAACAAAAGAATTTGTCCAAGTCTAGACAATGTGGGACTCTAACAAAACGGGTTTTTATTATTTGATTAATCCACATCAAATAAAACTAAGCAGACTGGACTGTCAGATAAGAATCTGGTTTGACCTAGAGAATTGATTGGTGGTGGATTATTATTAGCTTGTCAAATAGCCTAACCAAGTTCTAAGTTTGTGAAATTAACAAATCCCCAAAAAAGATGATGGCCATTCAGTGATTAACACCCATCCTCTCTACGAGGGGCAATGAACTCTGATGGGTAACCGACTTAGCCAAGTAGATCTTGAAAGTAGATACTAGATAGTAATAAGCCACCTGCCCCTTAAAGAGCTAATACAATTGGCTGTGGGATTGAGAACAATTCAAGTATTTTAGGAGACAAGCTAACAGAAACATCTGGAACTGCACTTCAGAAAAAAGGAACTTTAATACAATGATAAATATATCTGAAATCCTACTTTTTGTTCTTACATTCCAATTTGTTTTTCATATGTTTTATGCCCAAGTTACCCATTCTCTAGCTAATTGTCCACCCTTTCCAACTCTGAAATCTATGTTTTCAGATATGAAGATATATAATGAAAATAGGATTCGAATCAATGGTATGCCCCCTTTATAAAAAAAAAATATTTACCATTTTCTCCTTTCCTCTCTCACCTTGATCCTCCGCACCACCAGCAATAAATCATCACTCTCCCTTACAATCTCAAAACACACAGCCAATAGAAATTACTTCAATTACCAAATGCACGATCATCTAATCACAGATTTTTGTCATTGAAGTGGTGTCACTTGAGCTTGGATGGGATAACCCAGACAAGTGGGTTTGGGGCCGCAGAGGCAACAACGAGCGTGAATTTGGGGAGGTCTAATGAAACTGAGCTTGAAGGAAACTTGAGACAGAAGATGGTAATAAAGTCAGAACCAAGGACATGAGTTCGCATAGGAAGCAAGAAGGGAGGTTGATAGTCAGGGTGTTCATCAGAGGTGGTGCAAGAGGAAGAATTTGTAGCAAGGAGAGAGGGGGAGGTGGGTCACCATGAATCCATTTTTGTTGGTTCTATTCAATACAAAGAGAAAAGCAACCATAAGAAAGGAAAGAAAGTTGAGTTTATCCTGGGCCTTCTGGATATACAAAGAAAAAAGGACAACATAAGTAGGCAAGCAAAAGGAATTCAGTAGTTTGGTTTGGAGCATGGGAGGAAAAAGAGAACATAGAAATAACCAAACCTGATATAGGTAAAAGAGGAAAAAAATATTTGATCTTTTTATAAAAAGGAAGTTATAAGTAAAGAAAAGTTTTTCTAATCCCTTGACGAGTGAATACCACATGAGATGATTATATCTCAAGTATTGGATGCTATATCAGAGAGAAAGAGAAAAATACAGAGAGAGACCTGAATCACATCAGCATGTGTCACTGTAGTCTCGCCTTCCATAGCACTCCCATCCTCAGCCATGTTCTCACCAAAAATCCCATTTCGTGCAACAACTTGATCATCCACTTCAATTTTAACAGCCACTGTGCTGGTGCCAGGACCTGGATTTTTCCCCTGCAAACGGAAGTCAAAATTTTATTTTATTTTTTAGAACTGGAAGTCAAAATTTTGAGAATCATAAAGTGAAGAGAATGTACATCATGTAAAAGCATTTACCCCTTGATATTTTCTATCCTATCCTATTATTTTCATGGCAATCATGAATATTTCTCCTCGCTGTTACTTTAACCAAGTAAACCTGACAATATATGTCTAATGCTCTAAGTAGCACACTTGGTAAAAGTATTTGGTCAATTCATGTACCTCTGGGCAAATTTAACAAACATTTGTGGAGGTGCACTTAGGAGAAGGGAAATGATGATGTAAAGAGGCGTAAATATCCAAAGCAACTACAAATACAAAGTTGTTAAGCACGTGTCATTACCCATGAGAGGAAGTTGGAACTTAGATGGACCTTTGGTTGGACCATGTTGGGAGTTGCACCTATCTCAGGTAAGTTGAGAGAGGGAAGATGGTGTGGTTTGGACACGTTTGCACAAGACAGTTGGCAGCTTAGGTGAGAAGGGTAGAAAGTATGACGGTCGAGAGGCCAAGGATAGACATGGAGTCCTTACCCATTTTCCAAGGAAATGACCTCGAATAGGAGTTCTTGGAGATGCAAGACTACAGTAGCAGACTGGGGCGAAGACCTGTGCTAGCATAGACAGAAGGAAGGGAGCTCCAGAGGTAGAGGGTAGGGAGTAGGGTAGTAAGCCAAAAGATAGGCTACCAAATTCCTAAGATAGACTAGGGGTTGTGTCGTCTTACCTTCGCTATGTTTCTTTGTACCTACTTCTGTTTATATGGTGTTGCTTAATTTTCTCCAGCCTTAATTCTTCTTTAAATTTTTTGTCTCTAGCCTTGGTTCTTCTTTTCACTTTCCAATTCTTCTCCTTGGGCAAGCTTTCTTTTTTCGCTCACTTTTTGCAATCGGGGGTCTCACGGAAACAGTTGCCTACTCTTTGGGGTAGAAGGGTGTACACCTCACCCCCAAGACCCGCCTCTAGGTGAGATATTGATGACTCGAAAAAAAGAGTTTCAGGTCCTCTTTAATCCTGTGCTTTAGGTCTTTTTTGTGCCCACTATATTGTGTTTTATCTCCCTTTTACTCCTTATATTCTCTGGAGCTGAGAAGTAGTCTTCTTGATTAAAAATGTGGTCTGAGCATCAATGATACAAGATTCAGGGAAAAGACTGTAGAGCATAAAAGTGACCACAATTGTAAGTTGTGGCCACATCTAGTCTGTCTGCTGATAATCTGAAATTTGCGATGAAAAGCCTCAAACAAAGCTGGAGTGTTTAGTCCTAATTCAACAATAGTTTGACTATCAAAAGAAAGGGAACCAACATGTTTACAAATCAAGGAGCAGGTTTCACTTTTTAAGGTCTTGTTGCAAAGGTCACTTTTCACTAACAGAAAGTTACAAGATAAGCCACACTTCTAATTTCTAAATATTTAGAAGTTGTCAACTTGCTTATGGTACCTACTCTTTGCTTTTTGGTGATAAAAACAGGGGTTGAAGCTGCTGAATTTGTGTCGTTGAACAAAAGAAGAGAGTACTGCATTTATTTCTAAACTCTGCACTTCATTTATTCTGCTTTTCACTTTGTGTATTTAAGTTCAAGAACTTCACCTTTGTTACTTCCCAGTTGTAATTTTCTATTCCACATTAATTAGAAGATCAGAGTCACTACAATTAATGCAGTGTTCAACTATCCATTCCAAGTTTAAGTTAAGAATGTTTTCCCGTTTAGAAATATTCTGTTGTGTGTGTCATAACTTCATTATGAGCTAAATTCTCTAAAGCTGCGAGTGTGAATGAAACTGAGTGACAACAGATAGCAAGTGATTATTATCACATTGTTGCTTCTCTCAGACTTGTTTGTAAGAGTTAAAGTTGAATACGAGTTCAGGAACGAACACAGTTATTAAGGGGCTCCTAGGCTCTGAGGCTCATAAAGGTCAAGGTCTTGGGCTTTTATAAAGTCGAGGCTAGGCGTATTTATGAGGCTCACTAAGGCCCTGCACCTTGGTTGAGGAGCCTTGTGGGCCTATACGTGCCTCATAAAGAGTTATTACATAACAAGTCAAGCCCCAATATTAAATAAGTTTTCTCATCGTCATATCTTCTAGACATCTTAAAAAATGATTTATTAAATAGATGATATAAGTCAAAGTGTAAACCCCTAATATTAAATACCCAGTTCTTATAAGTTCAAGCCTCTTTCTTTATAAATACCCAGACCTTAAAACTTCTCCCTCATGGCTCACGCTTTAAACCCAACCCTTCTGCCTCTATCGAAGTACTGTTGGTTGTTGCACTGGAGTACTTGTTACATATTTGAGTTGTGTATAACTTTGTGTGTGTATATACACTTTCTATAAGATGCGCCTCACATTCCTGAGGCCCACGCCTCACACTTGAGCCTCGCGCCTAGGCCCCGGGACCCCTTTGCGCCTAAGCGCGCCTTGAGCCTTTAACAACTTTGGGAATGAATCTTAATGCATAAAACTGTGGAGAGACTTTTATGCATAGGAATATGAATTCTTGCACAACATGAGCAACTAATAGTGGTATATCAGTATAACAACAGTAACATTACATAGAAATATAATGTGTTCACAATACTGGTTGTTCTTAAGAACTTTAAGATGTTCCTAACAATTGATGCTGGCAAGTCTAGTTGCAGCAGTGTGGTCACTTCTTAAGGAAAAGTGGAAATGTTTCTCTCATGGTCACTCTTTAATTAAAAGAGATCTCTCATACGTTGAAAGTGACCACTTTTGACCGCTCTTCAACTGTATGTTCACAGTATAGTTTACACTCGCACCCATCTGTTTTTCATATTTACAAGGCTGCGTGTTTGAATCAACTCCAACAAAACAATTTCTTCTCTCTAATTGAAATTCTCAATCACAGAAATTGTGAGGATTTTTCATTCTTGGTTATAGGGTCCCTGTGGATTTGATACTTGTTATTACCTTTATATTACTTGCTAAGTGATATCTGAGATAAGTGCATACTTGCATTGGTCTTTTTATTTAAATGCCAAGTGTTTTAGTACCTGAATCGCTAACAAATATACTAGGCTCATTTGGTTTGGTTTCAATTCAATGACATAAACCTAGTTAATTGGGCACATGGATTGGCACCGTCCACTTCCATTAATGCATGTTCGAATCTTGGATAGCATAAAGTATTTATTTAGTTATCTCATTCTCCACCAACACCCCTCCCTCTTCAATTTATGACATTAATTGTCCTCGAATATGACAAAAGAAATAGGGAAACTAGAGGAAAAACCTTATGACGCTGACGTTTTGCCCTGCGATCGAGTTCATCTTCGTAGCACTTCAGAGCTTCCTTTATAGTTCTGGCCTTATCAGGCAACTTTTCCTCAAGGAGCCCAATGTTCCGCTTATTCCTCCAAATAAACTCCATCAATTCCCTGTCAGACTTGTTTTGGAGGCTGTCCTCCATAACGGACTTAGATTTCTTCGCGTCCCTAGCCTCATTCAGCAGCTCATCACTAGATCTAGTAGTATTTGTCCGAGTGAAGGCTTCGGTTGGCCTCAACTGAGCTAGAGGTTGTGGATTACACTTCCGTAAGTGTCTCCTCATTGTTGATGTACCTGATTTTGGAGCAGTACTGTACACTGTATTACACTTGGTGCACCTTGTTTTTGGTAGCCCATCATCCCCAGTAATCCTCTCGAAGTAATCCCATACAACAGCTCTTGCTCGTCTCCTACAAACCACACGTCCTTCCATTTCTTGGTCAATATCAGTATGATCAGTTGACATATCTGAATGAAATAAGAACAGAAACTTAGCACCAGTGAACTAGGATAGTATACTGTCTGACAAGTTGGCACTACCTGTTATTAATTTAAACTGAAAGCTCGTTCAGATTCATTGTTAATCAAAGACTCAGAACAAGAGAGAAATAAGGACATAGATGGTCTTCTCTTTCGGATGTTTATAGATTCCTCCAACCTAGCCCTTATTTCAAATAAGTGTTTCATGGTAATCTTTAAATACAGAAGCACGTATTAGGTAAAATTATGATGCTACTGAGAGATTTCAAGGTCCAATACTTTTCCATTTTCTTTTGTAAAAAAGCAAGCATATGACATAGAAAATGTTTGTAATCTGCTAAACCCAAAAATCATTTATTCTCCAAACAGACATGGCAGCATTACCCCTTTTCAATATTTTTTCACTCCACCTGCATTTTATTTTTTCCCAATAAAACAAAGTACATTCTTTCAAAGAGTGGTTTACAAAAAGCCTATACATAGTTAAGGAGTGAACAAATCTTATACTACTTCAGACATACAATGACACAGACAAACAGAACACTTCAATTCCAAAAAAAAAAAAAATGAACTTCAGAAAATACAACACAAACCAAACAAAATTACAAGAAAAAGTTTTCATGCTAGGCAAAGTAGGCTATGTAGTAGTTTATCGAACACTTTAATGATCTGATCAATTCAAGCGAAATTGAGTCGCAGTTTACAATTTTCAATCTGAAACAACATCGGAGCATTTCTAAATCAATTCATTATATAATTAACTAGGTTTTACCTAAATTATACTGAACTTCAAATTTATGAAACTATTCCTTCATTTGGGATAAATTCTTACTATTTTGAGGTCGTGGACTTCACTCGATGATAATTATACCTGCTAACCAAAAAACCAATTTTCCATCTCAAATTCGCATAACAATTTCGCGCATTTTATACGTTGAATTCGACTTGGATCGCTTGTAAAAACAATCAGTAAACAGTACCAAAACACATAATCGGAGATTGAAGTTAAGAGAACACCTCAATTCCTCAATCCACAAGAGGCAAAATCAACAAGAGAGCAGAAAACGGAGAAATTATCCCAGCGACGTTGATCGGAGGAGGAGGTCGTCAGGTTAGTGGTCTTATGGTGGTCATTGGAGGAGGGAATCAAGAAAAATGTGTTTCGAAATGATGAAATAGGGGCAAGGAGGCGCGTGAAGCGCGTGTGTTCTTTCTTACACCAGCCTACTGCCACTTTGCGCATTGTGGTTTCTCAATCCTTTTATTAAACCGAAAATAATACTTTTTGTTACCATACTTTTAAAATTATAATTTGATCATCATGGTTTACAAAATTCATCGGACTTAGTTTCTTTTTATCAACGGTCGTTAAACAATTTCGTTAAGTAAGGAGCATTATAGACTTTATCATTTTCCTCTAATTTTAAAAAGAAATTAAAATAGATAAATATTAATTACAGTAAACTACAAATTTGGTCTGTACGGTTTGTTGTTTGCAACACTTTGATCCCTACAATTTCGAAATTACAGATGGCCTAGGAATAGCAACGAACCAGGTTCAGGCCGGTTATTGATATCCCTGTCACCGAAAGCGATAACTAAACCGTCCCGATCCTCATCGAGGATCTTATCGGGGATCCCCGTCGGGTCTTCACGATTTCCCAATCCCCGTTGAGAAACCCGTTAAGGTAAAAATGGACAACAATCTACTTATTTGGGCTAGGTGTTGCATTTATTGATCAAAATAAGAACTATCACTTACTAGCTCTAATAAATTTAAAAAAATTATCCCAGACTTAATTTGGGAAAATAAAATCAACACATATTAAAAACAAAGGACTTTGGAGCATAGGAAAAATAAGTGGACCTGCCTTACTCCTGCTGAGTAGGTGTTGCAGCATTTCATGAGTCCATCACTGCCTTATGATCCTCGGTGAGCTCTTCAGGATATGGGGAAATACTCTGCTTCAATTGGATGTGCTTCTTTCCATACTCTGAAAACCACATCATCTTTGTCTTTGTCATACTTTTAGTAGAGGGCATTCATCCTCGCCAGATGATGCAGGGTCTCTTCCTGCTTCTCCATCCTCTCTATAATCTTGGGCTCTTTGATGTTGAAGGCCTCAATCATTTATTTCTTCTGTTTCTCCAATCTAAGGTGCCACAAGGAATTTTGATCCTCAAATTTATTCATCATTATCTCATGGTGTCTCTCTAGATGCTTAGTAAGTGATACAAATGACAAAGTGTCCAAGGATTGACTATTGGGGTCCAAACTAGTGGTGATGTAGGTGATGTTGTTGCAGGAGCTTTAAGGGTTGCCTTTCTTGAACTGACTACTGATTTTAATGTTGTGGTGATTGTTGTGACCAGTGCTGAACTTGCTGTAGCACTGGCATTCTTCTTCATTTTCTTCTCAACATTCTTCCTTACCCTATTTACTGTAATCACTTCTATAGAGGGCTTTACATTCACTATTTCATCAGTAAGGAGCCTTGGGACTTTAGCTTTCTGCATTAGACCGTGGACCACAACTAGGTGCCATAGATCTTCCTTTAGCTTCTCTCCATAAGACTGGATGCTATTGTTTATCACCTCTCTAATGCTTAATGGTCTATGTATTTTGTTTCATAGACAACACTTCAAGTGTAGAATCATCATCAACAGGGATAGTCGAACCCTCACTCTTGGTCATGGGCTTGGTGATCATCTTCTGGTGCCTTGTGATTCTTCTTGATGGTGGGTTGAGGTTTGCATCCACAGGGTGTCCAACACTCTTTCTTTCTTGAGACTTGGATCGCTTCATGGTTGTTGTGGGTTTGAAAGGAAAGAACACTAGAGAATTGTGGTACTTGTGATGAAGTTTGAGGATGAACAACAGTATGCTATGGTTTTTAAATTGGGTCTTCTACGTGAGATGGAAATAAGGAGGATAGTTGAGTAACCAAATGATCATGATTTAGTATGGTACTTAGAAAGAAAATAGGGGGTTAAAAGTTTTTAGAGATTAAAATAAAAAAAATAAGAATAAAGGTACAAATGATTATGGTCTATGTACACTTAAAAGGTTGAAGTGACTTTGTTTTTCCTACCAAAAATTCATATTTATGGTTCCCATGAATTCTTTGAGTTTATCCGATTCAAATTTTGAATGTGGGTCCCACAATAGTTGCTATAGCGACTCATCTCATGTCGCAATTGTCGAACTTTTTTTTGAATTGTATGTGTACATCACAGACAATTACACATACTTGCATAAAGTACTAAACTTGAACTTATACACAAATTTATACTTTTTCTTTGGACCCACAACCCAAGATCATCAATTTTTAAAAGTCAAAGCTCCAGCCATGGAAGGCTGGTTAAGACTTGTTGCACCATCAAGGTATGTATTTACTTTTTGACTATTAAACTTGAATGTGTTTTTGTAAAACCCATTTCTTTATTAAATATATAAATAATATTACATAGGCCTTTAAATATTTTTTTATTAAAATTATTTGAAATGTAAAATATTTACGTAATTAATTAAAGAAAATAATTATAAAAATATTAAATAAATAAATAATAAAAAGAAAGACAAAAAGAAAAAGAAAATAACATAAAATTGTTTTCTTTTAATTATTGGACAAAAAATGTAAGATATTACGTCAGGAGGGGTTTGGTTGTAAATATCAGAAAGTTTAGGGAGGCTAATGTCATCTTTTTCAAAGTTGAGGGACCTATTTTGCCAAAAGTACATAACTGTTTGGAGAAAACGACCCATCAGCCAAAAACTCACGATTTCTTCCGATTTCGTCAACTAATAAGCCAAAACTTTTGCATATAAATATAGAACACCGACTTAGGATCATTTTGGTTCAAATAGCTCGAAAAATCGTTGAGTTTTGAGAGAAAAATCGGAGTTTGAAGTTCGGGATCGAAAATCTTGGTTTTCACCGATTTTGGGTGAGATTCTTAACCAAATCTCTTGATTTTTATGTTTATAGCTTCGTTTTTAAGTACACTATCAAACTCCAGTAGCCTCATGTCTCATATTTGTGTTTATGTGGTTTGATTTTACGTTTTTAAGTTGTTAAATTTTAGTTTTAAAATCAAACTTTAAATGAGTAAATGGAACTCATTTCTTGATGAAAATTCGTGTTCTTTATGTCAAAATGTTAATAAAAATATTACCAAGAGTTTGGTGCAAAAAGAATGAAGAAAAAAGTCAAGAAATGAGCTATTTTTGAGATTGAAAAGTTCAAAAATGGGCAGAACATAGCTGTTGTTTCGGGCTGTTTTCACATGGGTCACGGACCGGGTCGGATCGGCCCAAGACCCGCGTCCGTTTACTTTTAAAATAAAAATGGGATAAGGCGCATGCTGAAGGCAGGTTTCGAATCCGCGACTTTAAGCTCATAGCATCGATGCGTTAACCAGTAAGTTAGCCTTCGATTTGTTGAATTTATGCCTTGATATTTTTAATATACAATAAACGTTTAAGTTTCAGAGATTAACATTTAAACCCCTAAAGTTCTAGAAAATATTTTTATCTAATATAATTTTATGAGACTTTCATCAAGTTTATATGAAGTTTGTAAAATGCAAATTTTGACCCCATTTCGATTATTTATCCCGTTTAGTTACCAAAATGACCCTACAATGTGGAAATCGGTATTTTAGCGATACTTTACGTATTTGCTTCATAAATTATCGACATGACCCTATATCTTGGGGATTGGTCTATGAATTTCATTTTTATATTATTATTTTTATAAAATTACCAAAACGACCATATATTTAGAAATCGGTATTTTAGCAATATTTTGCGTATTTGCTTTATAAAATTACCGAAATGACCCAATGTCTTGGGGATTGATATCTAATTGTTATTTTAAATCTAATCCCTATGAAATTACCAAAATGATCCTACAATATGGAAATCGGTATTTTAGCGATACTTTACGTATTTGCTTTATAAAATTACCGAAATGACCCTATATCTTGGGAATTGGTATCTATGCTTTATTTTGATTGTTACCCTTATGAAATTACCAAAATGACCTCACAATTAGGGAATCGGTATTTTAACAATACTTTGAGTATTGCTTAATAAAATTACCAAAATGCCCCTATGCTTTGGGATTGGACTTTTAAGCACAATTTTAATATTCGACTTATGAAATATACCAA